TTATCATGATAATTGAGAGTCTTGATCAATTCCCTCAATTCTGGGGTTAATTAACAAGAGACACAAGATCACCTAAGGGTAATTTGGGTCACTATGCAATCATCGTAAGAGGGGCCATTGACATGGGTGATTGGCTTCTATCGCGCCAAGGCAGTGGATTTGGTATTGCTCAATCACGTAGTTTGGTATGCCTTTCCGATTAGAGCAATTAGGCGGGTTAGGACAACTTGAATAGGGAATCCTAACTAGCCTTGATCTCCTAACGGTATATATAATATGCAAATCACACTAGAGTATCACGTCATCGACTCTACACGAGACTATGGGGATAATCATCCGAGTGAAGGTTTCTGCCTCGAATTCAACCTTATTTTATTTGCTTGTTTGTTTAGTTCAATAGCTTAGAACAATGTTTATACCGCTAGATAACTTATAGTTTGCTGAAGTAAGGATCCATAGACCGCCCGAGTTTGATAATTCAAAAAATACTTTCTCTATACTACCTCGATTGAGGCTTACATTTGGCTTTCAATTGCAAGTGTAGTTAAAACTGAGTCTGTCACAAAGAGACTCATGCAACACTTGGGTAAGTTGCACAAGGGAGAAAGTCATAATTGTGACTTTTTATACATTCTATGGAAATGCTTCACGATTGTCTCTCTTTAAAGTAACAACCATGAGTATCACAATGGTGAACGCGAGAATAGTTGTTGTCACTCCTTTGCTCCTGTATGGCCTAAAAATGCCCTGAAACTCACTCATGTCCGTTACCACACACTAGTACTTGAAATATGTCAAAAGAGAACAATCTGGCATAAAATTGCTTAAAGGCAAAGTGTTTTGAGGTAAATACCCAAGAAAAAATCAAGTATTAAGGGCTAAAATATTTATAATTAGCAAGGTTCAAAAAGACGCTAGGCATAAGGAGAGCGTTGAGACTTTGCCTAGAGCCTAGCTCGCCTAGGCGTTAATAGAATAATAGCTATTCGCACTACATGATGAATGAAATAATAATCTACAACATTTCCTCACTTCAGTTAAAATGATTAATAACTTACTCAACGCTTAATGACAACACCATAGCTCATGAATTTACTAGAATCATAGCTCAATAGCTCACAAGTTCTTGAGCTATTGAAAATATTAATATAGAAAATTGATTTTGTAGTTGACATTAATTTTCTCCTTTAATATTGACTTCCTAGCTCCATCTAGCAATGTTTAGGAGAGACTTATATGTCTCTTTACTCCATTGGCGTGTCCCAATAATTAAGGCACGCAACTGTACATGGGCGCAGGGCCGTGCTTGGGCCTGCACGGGGCACAGGCACGCTTCGAGCCCATTTATTTCGTGTCGTGCTTGGCACGGCCTGTCAGTTTTCGTGTCGTGCCATGCAAGCCCATTTGTTAACTTTGCTAGGCCCGGCCCAGGCCCGGGCACGGTTCGAATCGTGCCGTGCCTATTCGTGCTCATGCCATGCTCGTATTCGTGTTTAATGAAAAGGACGAAAACAAAAGAGAGAATGAAAAAGAAGGTGAAAATTGGACGGGGGAAGATAGTATTAACCGATAATGTTTGAGAAAAGTAACAAATAAGGGGGAAAAGAAAATTGGAAGTATAGCGAGTGTGATTTGGCTTTGTTTAATTCTTTGTCCATTTTTACTTGTATTAGTAATTTCGTATATATCTTTATGACACTTCTAATGATAACAAATAATTATTTTTCTACTAGTGTTTTGTAATATTTGAACCTATAATTCTTTTTATATTTATTTTCTATCAAATAAATATATTTTTGTGTCATGTCCGTTCTTATACTCAATAAAGTCTCGAAAATATTACGCCCGCCACGCCCCACTTATATATTGTGTCGTGCTCGTGCTCGTGCCCGTGCCCATGAAGTTTAGGCCTGACACGGCCCATAAATTATTCGTGCTCATGCCGGGCTGGCCCATTTATTTCGTGCCCGTGCTCGTGTCGTTCTCTAACCGTGTCGTGCCGTGCTAGCCCGTGGGCAGCTTGGCCCGGTGCCCACGTACACACGCAACCCCTAGGTGAGGCGTTTTGCCATTGCCTTGTGCCTAGACGTGCCTAAGCGTAAGGTTAAGCATGCCTTTTTGAACCATGATAATTAGCATGCATCAAATACCCCACACTTAACTGTTTGCTAATGCCCCAGCAAAGAAGTACCCATGTATCTTCATTGTCTTGGTTTCCCCATGAAGCCTCAAGGTAACACAATTGGGTGTTGACGATATTCCCACATGTTGGAGAATCCATTGGGATTCATGATTCAATTACAATAACAAAAACTACATGAGCAAATCATCAGCAAACATAACATGCGTGAGACTAATCCTTTTACACATGGATGAAAAGGTAGGCGATTCTTAGAGACAACTTCTTCCATAAGGCAACTGAAGACTTTCATTGCAACAACAAATAAATAAGGAGATAGAGGATCACCTCGATGTAGACTTTTTTGAGAAGCAAAGTAACCCACTACCCCCATTAAACCCCACACTTAGTTTTGGAGTAGTAATGCACATAGAGACCTAACTCAGGAATAAACTTGGGAACCCCATTGCTTCTAACACAGTTAGGAGGAAATGCCAATCCACAGAGTGAAAGACCTTCATCAAATCAACCTTTACAATACTTCGAGTTGAAATGTTCTTCCAAGTATATTTTTGAACTAATTCATAGGCTAACATTATATTCTCACCAATGAATCCGCCCTTAACAAATGTTGTCTGATTACTACTAAACACATGAGGGAGACAGTCACTTAGCCTAACAACAATTATCTTAGCAATGCATTTATAAATGATGTCGCAGCAAGAAATGGGACGAAAGAATTTCATATCCTCTGGATTCTTAGTCTTAGGAACAAGAGCTAAGAGTGTGGAGTTTACCTCTGTAGGAATAGAAGAGGTAGCAAAGCAATGCTGAATAGCCTCAACAATTTCCTCACCAACTATATGCCAGGCAACATGAAAGAAACACGATGAGAATCCATCAGGGCCATGACTCTTCTCTCCTTTGAAGCCAAACATAACCTTCCTGATTTCCTCTGAAGTTACAAGTTTGTACAAAATCTTGAGTTTGGGAGCAATGGAGCTTTCTCCTCAACTGCTTCTGAAAATAAGCAACAGACTTTCTCTGAACTAGATTATCCTTAGTTCCTAGAAGTTTCTCATAGAAGGAGACAACCAACTTACACATTGAGCTTGTATCAATAACTCTCTCACCAGCATCATTTATAAGCGATCTGATGGTGCTGTTTTGCTAATGGACCTTGACTGAACGATGGAAGAAAGGCGAGTTGGAATCACCTTCTTTAAGCCACACCTCTTTGGATGTCTGGCGCAAGAAGGATTCTTCATCCAATATTAACTGTTTGAGTTCTTTACTCTTGACAATTTCTGCCTCAAACTTCTCACTTGAAGGAGTAGAGAGGGCTTCCATCTGAGCATACTTCAGTTCTGTTTCCTTCAACTTCACTCTTTCTCTAATATCATAGTATACTTCCTTATTAAGTGCTTAGAATAACTTCTTGAGGATTCTTAACTTCTTGCACACCCTAGAGAGAGGAGAGCCTGAAACTTCAGAATTCCAAGCTTCTTTCACAAGCTCAAAGAATGCGGGGTGATTAATCCAAAACTTGAAAAATCTGAATGGCTTGGGCAAAGATTAGAACTATCAGTATCCAAATAAATGGGACAGTGATCTGAAATAGATGGGTCAAGGATATCAACTGTACTTCTAGGAAGTCCATCTAATCAAGCTAAGTTGACAAACACCATATCAAGTCTTCTTGCAATTGGATTCCTTGACTGCTTATTGATCCATGTAAACCAAGGACCTGAAGATTTGTATCCAATTAGTTTATGTAAATTTTCGCTTTCCATATCTTACTCCCAATTTCACGATAATGTTTTTTTACATTTAAAGAACTATCTCGGTACTTTTTCATTTTTTACCAAATTTTTTTTGTAATCTACACCTAAATTTACTATAAGTTTTTTTTTCTCCACCAGTTGGTTATGTAATTTTTTGTTTTTGCATCTCTTACACTCAATTTCACCATAAGTTTTTTTATCTTGAGACAACTATCACAGTACTTTTTCATTTCACATTACTTTTTCATTTCACATAAACTTTACATAGTATTACGGTACTTTTTCACTGGTGTTACATAAATCTTTCGTACATGTATGACAGTTATTTTAATAAAATGTGTATCGACTGAAAAATGTATTACATAAACTTTACATAATGATTACGATACCATGTATGCAAAATTTATAGAGTGATATTTGTTTTTTATGTATCAATAAAATAAATGTATTATGTAAGTCTTCGATGATGATAAAGAGACTACGTAAAACATATACAAGTATTTTATAATATTTTGAATTATTGATTTCAACTAAATCATTAAATGAGTGAATTAAATTTTAAATATAATTATTTTCTTACCGCTGCAAAGCGCGGATAAACAACTAGTTTATCTTAAAAGTAATGGCTACTTAACAAGTTTAGATGATTCTTGTACATAGTTAATTAATTCCATTAAGCATTATGGTTACTGGTTAGCACATCAAGGCAACCTTGTCGATAAGTAGCATAACCATAAGAAATTAGTTATGTAATTGCTAGTGTGGGCAGAACATGGACCACTGACAATGAAAGCTCCCCCTCCCGTCCGGCCCAATCTAAGGCTCTGAAATTTCGTCAGAAGCGGAATTTCAGGAAATCAATTAGCCCATTGATTTCATTTGATAATACCTCCAACAGAAGGTGAGGTAGGTCGGGTGCGTCTAGTATCTTATCTAATATATTGTATAGTATACTCTAGCTTAGCTGGTGGAGCGTCTCACGCAAGGTTCTGAGTTCGTTCCTCAACGACAATGATGATCTTTGAATTAGCACATGTCAAAGATAAGATAGTCTAGCGATATCGTCGCGGTATAGATCGTCCCGGGATATATGATGACCTGAGTTTGATGCCCCTCGAAGTATCGTGTGGTATTCTCAAAAGTGTATGGTTGCTGGGAACGAAGCCCAATTGACGCATAAAATTACTACTAATGGTTCCAAAATTTGATTTCGCTCCGCCATCATAAAATGTGATGTGTGCGTGAGATGTTCGGAGTAATAAAGAAGAAAAAAAATAGTCAGTAACTCACTAATTATGTAGTGCGCCTACCGAATGAAGAAGAAAATAAAAACGGGTGACACCACCCATGTGGGAGGAAAGGAAGTATCAAGGCGGCTCCACTCCCACCACCCCAATTTCCTCCTTGTTTACAACATCTGCATGTGCGCTCTTTGATTCCGCGATACGACCTCCTCAACACAACAACTCGATCCGATCCCCCCAATTTGCACAGCAACAAATTTTCAAGTCTGACGTCCAATTCGGTTGCATTTTTCGTTTGCCTATATAAACCCCTTTCTTCCTCTCCTCATAACCAACTCACTGCTTCTCTCCTTCCTTCTACCCATAAAAAAAAGAACAACAAAGTATAAAATGGCTGCCATTTCCTCATCTGTCTTCTCCGTTCTTTTGCTACTAATGATCACCGTCACCGGGGCATTTGCCGACTACGGAGGATGGGTCGGCGGCCACGCCACCTTTTACGGCGGTGGTGATGCTTCTGGCACAATGGGTATGTTACTATCTATCATTTCATCTGTCCAAATTTAATTACTCACTAATTTGAGTTTTACCATCCAATTTAGTTAGTTTTTCCCTCGGTAATACTAGGCTCTTTATGCACATGAAATAATATACTGTTTGCTGAGGTGGACACAAAATCTCTTACTATTGAAGCTCCCAGATAGGTGTAAAAAAAAGTTGTCGGTGGCACCTAGTCTTCTTTTTTTCCCTTTCTAAATGAAGTAATTTTTTTTTATCTATTGAGCAATCTGACAAGTAACAAAATTTTGTCTTTTTTTTATTGTGGCAGGAGGTGCTTGTGGATACGGCAACTTATACAGCCAAGGGTACGGCACCAACACTGCAGCCCTCAGCACTGCGTTGTTCAACAACGGGCTGAGCTGCGGGGCATGCTACGAGCTCCAGTGCAACAACGACCCGAGGTGGTGCAGACCTGGCTCGATCATCGTCACGGCGACCAACTTCTGCCCCCCAAACTTGGGCCTCTCCAACGACAACGGCGGGTGGTGCAACCCGCCACTCGAGCACTTCGACTTGGCCGAACCAGCTTTTCTCCAGATCGCCCAGTACAGGGCCGGGATCGTGCCCGTGTCGTTCAGGAGGGTTCCGTGTATGAAGAAGGGCGGGGTTAGGTTCACCATCAACGGGCACTCCTACTTCAACTTGGTGCTCGTGACGAACGTGGGTGGCGCTGGAGATGTAAGGTCGGTGTCGATCAAAGGGTCCAAAACAGGGTGGCAAGCTATGTCGAGGAATTGGGGCCAGAACTGGCAGAGCAACTCATACTTGAACGGCCAGAGCTTGTCTTTCCAGGTGACCACTAGCGATGGCAGGACCATGACTAGCAATAATGTGGCGCCTGGTGGGTGGCAGTTTGGGCAAACTTTTGAGGGTGGCCAATTCTAATTCAGAGGCCAGAGCTACCACATAAGAAAGAAGGAAAGAGAGAGAGATTCGCATTTTGTTTTAATTAAATGTGTGAAAGAAAGGGGGGGTTCAATTGCAAAAGGAAAGAAATTTGTCTGATTTGTTTCTTTTAAAGGGTAGAGGAAAGCGGGCGGGAGGGAGGGAGTTGGGGTTTGTTCGTGTCTCGCCTTGCTCCCTAATCCAAGTGGGCGGGGGCTAGTGGCAGAGGTGGTCAAATGGCACCCGCTGAGGCCTTTTCTTTTATTAATGCATACATAGTAAGTGATATATGTGAAAATCATCAAATGAAAATTTGAAATAAGTGTAATTTTTATTTTTTCAATTAATTAGACTCGATTATTCATTACTCGGTGCTTATGATCTTAAGCTGAAACAAAGGGCTCAGTGCCGATCAAAAAAAAAAAAAAAAGGGCTCAGTGAGTCTTGTATTATGGACACGAATGAGAATGTTTGGTGATGCAAGGAAGGTTCAAGATAAATTAGGAATCCTTATGCGATAAGTACTAGTCACGGGCCCGACCGGTTGGCCGGTTTCATTTATGAATAATTGTGTCTGTAACAAAAAAAAAATTTAAATGTATTAAAAAATAGCATATACATATGATATAAGAAAATAAACATTTGGTCTACTTTCAAATATATTATCTGTCTAAATGTCAATTTAAGTTGTTGACCGACTGCAACAATTAATTACGAAATGAGACACCTACACAGTTGAATACCTGCCTCTTTTCCTGAGTAAGTTCAATGGTCATTTTGAATAAGTATTAAATGAGTTAATTTTGTAAAATAATTGATGTGTATATAAGTTGCATGTGTCAACATGTGATATATAACGTAATTTCACAGTATATGAGCCACGTAGCTAGCTTTATGGATACTTGGAGAATCAGCAAATGACACTTGCCCTGCATGCCGCCTCTGTTGAGAATAAAGAACTGAATTGTTAAAGGTCGTCCTAAAAATTACGTAAGTTACTGAATAGCCCATTTTGAATTTCAAAATTAAACACAAAACAAACAACCCCTCCCCCTTCCATAAATCTAAAAAAATATAAACCAAAATCAAACAAATTATCTTATGGACCGAACCATAAATCGTAGCAAACTAATAGATAATTATGAATATAAACCGAAATGTGTTACATACATTTGCATCCGTCAATTTTATTGGGTGTCCTTATCATATGTGTATGTATATACCCTAGCTATTCGAGTCCTAACTCCTTGAATCAAGTACCATCGTTCCCCAAAATTGAGGGGCTAGGTAGGTAATGAAGGATTAACAATGAATTTTATCATTACTTGCTATTTCTTAATCTAAAAAAAAAACTTATATAACCACGTTGCTCTTCCCGTAATTACACTCTCGCCGCCATAAGCAGGTCGTAGAGCGTGTCCTGGCACCACCTTGGTGAAATCCGTGTCCCATTTCTTCAATTCGTCGGCGTCAGATTGATCAGGAGCGTGCTGGTGCTTGTTGCAGAACTCGAGCACCTTGTCCAGAATCACGCCGGTGACGTTGGGGAGCGGGATGCCGTTTTCGGCGCAGTCGTCCTCGATCATGTGCTTGATCGTCTGGGACTGCATCGCCACTGCCTCTTCGACTTGGAACGTCCCGCCGTCGCGGCTCTTCAGGGTGATGAACTTCTTCTCCGACGACATTGTACGGCAATTTGATATCTTGGTTAGTTTCTCCGAGGAATCTTGAGTGCACGGCGAGGGATTAGAAAGCGAGAGCTACCGATTGAGGAAGAACAAACATAGCCTTTCATTCAAGAAAAACAAAAGCATAGTACCAAAATCATTACGAAATGAAGAGAGAAGAAAATAGTTTAACCCACATCCTTTTTAACTATAAATATAAAAAGAGAATAAAAGAGTTCAACCGACATCCTCTTTAATTATAAATATAAAAAGAGAATAAAATAATTCAACCGACATCCTGACCGACTAAATCCTCATACGAAAAATGAAAGAAAAACCCCATGAAAGGGAACCGACTCCTAAAATTGTTTTAAAAGAATCCTTCTATTTACTCCTCATCGTCGTAGACAACTCCATGTTTCTGTTTTTGGTGGTTATTTTCACTTCCTGCTCCATCGACAACATCAATACGTCCATCCATATTAGTTGCTTTCTCGCCATTGGTGTCGCATTGTGCTCCATTAAATGTTGACGCCTCCTTCTCTTGCATTTGTGGAGTTTCTTCCTCATTTTTCTGAATTATATTTAGCACTTATTTTAGGTATTATAATTATTGTGCAAGTAAAAGTAAATTATCACATCGTGTAATATTTACCTCCGCCTCATTAGCAATATCTTGCTTTTTCTCAGCACCATCAACGGCAGCAGGTACACCAGTAGCCACTGGCGGATCCAGGGGGTGGCCACCCCAGGCCCCGGCCCAGCCTTCATCTGGATATGTAGTTACTATAGTCCTTATGAAATTTTTGATTTTAGACATTCGACCCAGTGTTATTCTATGATAAGATTGGGTTTAACTAGAAAAATTATCAAGTTGAACATTCAAATCACTATTCTAAATTTAGACTAGAAATTTTAGCCCCAAAGATCATGCGTCTTAAAAAAACAATGAAACCTAAAATTATAAAAAGTTTAAAACGGAAAAGACTAAAAGAAATATGAGGTTTGTTCCCTTACAAATTTACTAAAGTAGCTGGTGTGCAAGGATGGACACACAATGCAAATTGATTAGTCGATTGATTTATCTAGTGTTGATGCTGCTCGTTTCAACAGCTACTACGAAGATAACCTTTTTAACAATGAAACATGTGAGAACTGATTTGCTCAACAAAATGAGCGATGAATTTCTCGCCGATTGCTCAAGTATTTTATTTGAAACAGTGTATACTATTGGTATGGATGTAGACTTCATTATTGATGCATTCTCTAAATTAAAATACAGTAGTGTACAATTTACATTGCAAAAAACTATAATCATTATATTTTTTTATGGTTCTAATTTTTTAATGAAATGCGGCCCAGTGCTCTTCTGTGTTCTGGATCCGCCGCTGTCATTAGCAGGTTCTACTTTTTCCTCCTGCAATTGCTTGTGATTATATTAATGAATGAAAGTTCTCCTAATATATATATATATATGTATATATATATATATATATGTATATATATATATATATATATATATGGGTGGTTCTATCGTACCTTGGGTAAAATTAAGGGTACGACATACATTGAGTAAGAAAATGATATATAGACCTCGAATTAAGCATAGTTTGGCATATGATATTATTCCCAAACCCTTAAGGATTAAAATCTAGGTCTTAGTTCTATAAATCTCATACACTAAGATCAATTTAATTAGAAACAAAAAATCAACGGCTATGATTTGTCAAAATATATGCAACAAATTACAAGCACAATCTTAGGGATTATGCTCTTTGATTTAGAAAACTAAGACCTAGGGTTCGCTCATCAAGGGTTAGAGTATAGTGGTATGCCCAAAAATCTGGTTAATTCGAGGTCTAGATAGTATTTTCTTACTCAGGGTATGTCGTACCCTACATTTTACCCAAGGTACGATAGAAGCCACCATATATATATATATATATGGTGACTACTTTGGTGCACTCACAAAAATGAGTGCGTTCAATGCACCCAACTAAAAAACTACGCTTAAGGTGTCTGATTTTGAATTTTAATTTGTAGAATTAGTGTAAAATGATGATATAACATATGATAACAACTAATTAGCGGATTACCCTAAGCCCTAGACCTCCAATTTTGAGTTCTATTCGTAAACCCCTAAATTGTAAACCCTAACCCTCACCCTAAATCTCTAAACTCTAAATCCTTCAAATTAAAGTAAATCTTCAATGGTTTTTGGGCAAATTCATGTGTGTTATTGTTCATCACATCATAAGTGATGATTGACATCATTTTGACATAAATCGCATGTTTAAAATGACGGTTATGAAGTGAGTGCACTGAATGCACCCAAAAAATTGAGTGCACCGAATACGCCACTATATATATATATATATATATGGGTGGTTCTATCGTACCTTGGGTAAAATCAAGGGTACGACATACATTGAGTAAGAAAATGATATATAGACCTCGAATTAAGCATAGTTTAGCGTATGATATTATTCCCAAACCCTTAAGGATTAAAATCTAGGTCTTAGTTCTATAAATCTCATACACTAAGATCAATTTAATTAGAAACAAAAATCAACGGCTATGATTTGTCAAAATATATGCAACAAATTACAAGCACAATCTTAGGGTTTGTGCTCTTTGATTTAAAAAACTAAGACCTAGGGTTCACTCATCAAGGGTTAGGGTATAGTAGTATGCCCAAAAATTCGGTTAATTCGAGGTCTAGATAGTATTTTCTTACTCAGGGTATGTCGTACCCTACATTTTACCCAAGGTACGATAGAAGCCACCATATATATATATATATATATATGGTTTAGGCTAGCGTACGTCAGTCGTACGTTGTACGCCCGTCGAGTTTTACTATTTAGAGCAGGACTTAACCAAAATTTTGGGCATGATACTATACCCTAACCTCTAATGGATAAACCCCAGTCCCTAATTCTCTAACCCAAGTCACGAGATTCATTAAATCTAAAAAATAATAACTGACGGTTCTGATTCAGCGAAATATATTGAAGTGCAAAAACCAAGTGTGAACACAGGCGTACAGCGTACGACTGACATACGCTAGCCTTTGCCATATATATATATATGGGCAGTTCTAGGGTGCCCAGGGCAAAATCTGGGGTACGGGTAACCGGGGGCAAGGAAAATTACCAAAAGCATCACGAAGCGTTTAAGCGTTTTTCATTGGACGTCAACCTAACTGTACCCGGTTTAATTATATCGATTAAGAGGTTAAACCCTATGGATACGACCCGCCGCCCTAATCAATTTCTAGTCCCTCATTCGTCTTGGAGGGGACATCCCCTCTTAGTTCGAAGTTCGAACATAATCCTTTTATCATCGTTTCTGAAATCTTAAATCTCAAATCCTTTTATCATTTGATCGACATTCGATTTAGCTCCCAATCCAATATCAAATCCCTAACATCAGCATGTTTTGAACCCCAAATCTATGTATCCACGTTCGAAGAGAAGATCCCTTTTCAATCTAAAATCCCCACATAATCATCATTTTGAACCACAAATCCTTGTATCCACAATCGACGTTTTGTTCTTCGCCATTTTATTTCCGACCGGAATCTAAAATCTCCACATAATCATCGTTTCCTTGTATCCACAATCGACGTTTTGTTCTTCGCCATTTTATTTCCGACTGGAATTTACACAAATTGAAGATGAAATAAGCAACACAGTCTTCGACCTAATTGAGGAATAAGATGAATAAGACAGAACTTAATTCGAATCAGATGGAGAGGTCGCCTTAACTTGTGTTTATGTATTAACGGTGCGTTTAGGACAAAGTCTAGTTGGGCTTTTAAATTCCCTTCAAAAGTGGGCTTGTG